CAGACATTTAAGGCCTGCCACCCTTCTAAATGAAACCTTTGGTGCCGAGTCAACACGGACGACAACCAAACAGTTCACACTATGCATCAGGCACTGTACTAGGGACACAAGAATACAAGGATAAGTAAAGCACAGGGCAACATAAAATGATTAGCGTCATAAATGGGGAGTAAAAATACATACAGTTAAGTTAAAAAAAAAAAACAGGGACTTGTGCGGACAATACGGTTTTTCAAGAACGATTGAGGGAGAACACTGGGACAGGAGAACCCTAACTCCTCTGCCCTCTGGTTCTGCGATCTGGGCGATATTTCAAAAGATGATGAGCCTCAACCTGGGGCAATTATTAAGGAAAAAGGATAATTATAGGAAGAGCAGGTTTCTAGAAGGCAATTCAGGAGGTGAGTGAGGTATTTCATTATAGTGGACTCTTACAATAATGGCTCCAAAGAATCACCCCTCTTAATATGCACACCCTTGGGGAGTCTTCTACCATGAAAATGAGCTTGTAATCATCACTGTTCACATTCCACACTGACTGGAGGCCCTACCTAGAGCTGTAAAACAAGATAAAGAAATAAAAGTTAAAAAAAAGAAAGAAAGAAAATGAGCTCGGCCTTGTAACATTAGAAAATGAGGCCTGATAAGCAAGTGCTTGCCCTCTTGGACTACTGCCGCCACCTTGTGAGGAAGCCAGGACTGGCCTCCTTCGGGATGAAAGCCCACAGGGAGAGAGGACAGCCATTCCTGTTGGGTGCTGCACACAGCAGGCCTTCCAGCAGAAGGTGAAACCAGAAGAATCCACCTAACAGACCCACATAATTGTGGGAAATAATAAACCATTATCGTTCTAGGCCTACGTTTTGGGTTTCATGTTATGCAGCAAAAGATAAGTGGTACATCTATGATGAAGGTAAACGCTGCAGTTTCTAGGAATGAATAAAGGTTTTACAAAACACAGTGAAAAGGAGGAAAGTTAAAAGGGGGAGGACAGGCTTGGAAAGAGAAAAGGTTAAGCTGAGTGATAAAGAAAGAAACTGAAGAAAGGCCTGTACGTGGGAGGTTAGGAGTCAGGGGTGGTTGCGATACACGAGATAAATTGAGAGAGAAAGCAGCTAGGGAACAGAGATTCAAACAAGAAAGGCAAAAATGCTTAACCAGCCCTAAGACCTAACCGCAGTCTCAGAGTAAATGCAATATACCATCTTTGAAAATTTTTACTTCCAACTTTCTAGGAAGACCTAACAACTGTATTAGGCATAGTTTGAAACTGGTCACGGCCTCCCTGAATTTGTGTTTGTTATTCACCTAGGTCATTAGTAAAATATCTTCATTATTAGTACTAGTCCTTTATAGAAATTACCGGAAAGAGCTTTGGAATCAGGAGGCATGAGTGCCAATCTTAGTTGTACCACGTCCCAGTTTTCTTTGTGATACCAGGCAAAGGTTACTTCTAACTTCACTGGCCAAGGTCTTCATCCGTTTATCAGGGATGCCATCACCACACTCAAGTTGTAGTGTTGTTGTAAGGGTTAAACGAAAGGAGATACTACCCGGCACACTGTGTGACACACAATAAGCACTCATTCCATTTCAGTGAAATCTAAGCTTACCTATTTGACAGTCAAATCTTCGAACGACATTGACTTTTCTTGGTAAAATAAAATTTCATGTATTTAGAACCCACTGATTAGGAACTTGTAAAAAGTAAGATTGTGATACTGTGATTTATAATAAGGAATATATATACATACTTCGTTCTCATTTCTGGCACAAAGCTCCTAAAAGCCTGGTAATTTCCTAAGTGATAAGAGTCCCGGAAGCATCTTTTGTTGTAATATTTCATCTCTCTCGCCTGTTCCTGAAATAGCTCCAGAGCTATAAAGGTGAAAGGAGTGTCTTTTGTTTTTCATAACAAGTCCTTTTCAACCACACCTGACTTTACGTTAATGAGGAGATTTCTGGAAAGCCTCTAGATAACTACAGGACGGGGGTTGGTTGCCAAGGGAACTAAATCAATAATTGGAGGGTGGGAATTTTCCAGGGAGGGAGCTCTAGGGAGGTGAGAAGGGGCGAGAGGTTGAACTAATCACCAATGGACAATGATTTAATCAGTTATGCCTGCCTGATGAAGCCTCCATAGAAGTCTCTAAAGTATGGGGATGGGGAGCTTCTGGGTTGGTGAACCCATCCACATGCCAGGAGGGTGGTGGGCTCCAAACTCCACGGGACAGAAGCTCTTGTGCTCAAGGCCCTTCTAGTGCCTCTTCATTTGTATCCTTTAACAATCTTTATAAGAAACTAGTGATCTAGTAAGTAAACTGTTTTCCTGAGTTCTGTGAGCCACTCGAGCAAATAATCGAACTTGAAGAGGGAGTTGTGGGAACCTTCGATTTATAGCCAGTTGGTCAGAAGCACAGGTGATAACTTGGACTTTCGATTGGTATCTAAAGGTGGAAAGGGCCCCCCACAGTGTCAGGACTGAACTGAATTGTAGGACACCCAGCTGGTGTCCAGAGAATGAGAGAACTGGTCGGTGTGGGAAAAAACACACATCTGGTGTCAGAAGTGTTTGAGAAGTGTTGTGAGTGTGAAAGAAGAAACACAGAGAGTCTTTTTCCTTTTCAAAGATAGACACTGATGTGAAGTTTACCTTAGCACAATGAAAAAAAGGTGTGTGCTAAGCAAATCAATTTTGTTGAAAAGATTGCAGGGGCACAGTCGGCTTATTAACACTGTCTGCCTTGACATGGCCTTCAATCCAAAGGCAGAAAACAGCCAGGGATGCTGCAGAAGGAATTCCTCTGCTAGACAGATCATCTCAAAAGAACCTTTAAGTATCCCTTTACAACCTCATAATTCTGTCCTGAAATGAACCCATTTTTCAAGCACTGCAGAGGCACTTAATTTCTTCCATATTATTCATTGGTTAGCACCACTCAAGTTAACAGTAGTACATCTAAAGTTTTAAACACTTTGTTGTGTATTGGTTTAATATGATTTCAAAGCAACTTGTTTATGACTTAAGTGCATATGTTTTTTCCCACTTGTTTATGGCTTAAATGAAGTTGTTTTTGAAATAAGAATGATGTCAGCTGTGTCAGGATATTACCGTATCATCTGCTCTCATTGATAAGCACTCAGTAGCTCAGCTGGATGAACACTGCTGGGTGGCTTATCGGTAAGAGCACGTGGAGAAGCAACTATGGCAAGGGGACATTCCGATTATAAATACCGAAAGTTTGTGAGGACTATTCAAGAGTTTTCGGTCTGGGCATGGCAACTCTTTGCTGACCTAAACAGCTCTGAAGATTTGGGGGCATTCACGATAAAGGCAGCTCTTTAAGATCAGCTTGCTGGTTAACAGTGGCACCAGTCGTTCCCTAACAATGTGCTCCAGCAACAAAGTACTTACATTTTGTGCTGGCAGCTCTTAGTTGGCCAAGCTGTCTCTCCTGAGTACCAACTCATATAAAGGTACATCTTGAACTAAATTTGGACTTTATCCTTTTCACTTCCCCTTGCCTGGAACAACAGTGTGATTAATCTATCATTGGTTTGGAGTATATTATTTCTTTATTAGTCAGCCCTAGTAGTCTAGTGGTTAAGATTCGGCGCTCTCACCATAGGCGCTTGGCTTCATTTCTGGTCAGAGAACCACACCACCCATCTGTCAGTTGTCATACTGTGGCAGCTACATGTTGCTGTGATGCTGAAAGCTATGCAACTGGTATTTCAAATACCTGTTTGAAGGAGGGTCACCTGTGGCGGACAGGTTTCAGAGGAGCTTCCAGACTAAGACAGACTAGGAAGAAGCACCTGGCCACCCACTTTTGAAAAAAATTGCCCATGAAAACCCTAAGGATAGCAGCGGATCATTGTCTGATATAGTGCCAGAAGCTGAGAGGACGGTGCAAAAGACCGGGCAGGGTTCCGCTCTGCTCTACACAGGGTCAGCAGGAGCTGGAACTGACCCAACGGCACTAACAACAAATTTCTTTACTGGCTTATTAGGAGACACTGTCTTGCATGCTATTGGCTTGTGAAATCATTTTAATTCCCGCAGTGAACTGGTATTGAATAAACTATTTGGCAAAGACAGTCTCAGTCTCTGAGAATAATTTTGCTGCCCAAAACAAAAGAGACTTTTACTAATTCATAATGACTTTCTTTTTCTATGTCTAGAGTGGGAATTGCAATCACTTTTCAAACAAGCTTTAAAACGATAAACTAATTTGCATAAGTACCTACAGTTGTGTGTCAATTAACGACAGGGATATGTTCTGAGAAATGCATTGTTAGAAAATTTCATCATTGTGTGAGCATCACAGAGTGTACTTACACAAACCTAGATGGTATAGCCTACTGCACACCTAGGCTATATGGTACTAACCTTATAGGACCACTGTTGAATATGGGGCCCGTCATTGACCAAGTGTTGTTGTGCAGCACATGACTGCACTAAGGTCAAATCATTCTTACTAAGGTTATACGCAGGGTTCACCTTACGATGGGTGACATTTGATTTCAGGACCAAATCTCTTTCCTGTAAGACAGTGGTCAATTAAAATTATAACTAGCAAAAATAAGTAAAAAAAAATAAAACATTACAGGCTCTCTCTCATCTGATTCCTTTTTACATAAAAAAGTTTTCTAAAATTGAGCTGTTCTCAGTCCCCCTGCCAGTGTGACTGAGTTTCAGATCTCTTCTGGTACAGGCTGACAGGGATTGGTCCAGCAATGTTTTGAAAAAGGGCAGAAAAGTTCCCAGATGATCTTAGATATGACAGAACTTTTTAAAGATAAAAAATTATAAATTATAAAGGAAAAGATTGGTAAATTACATTAAAACTGAGAATTTCTATTCATCTATAGATAGTGAAAAGATAAGTTACAAACTGGGGAAAGGTATCTGCATTACATGTACTGACAAAAGATATGTATCTAGAAAATTTGAAGAACTCCCACAAACCAAAAACTCAATGAAAAACAGCAAATAAGTGCTCACTTCAGCAGCACATACACTAAAAAACTGGAATGATACAGAGAAGATCAGCATGGCCCTGTGCAAGGATGACATGCAAATTTGTGAAGCCTTCTATATTTTTAAGGAAGGAAATAATAAAAATCAGAGCAGAAATAAATGAAATAGAGACTAATAAAACATATAAAGGATCAATGAAACTAAGAGCTGGTTCTTTCAGAAGATAAACAAAATTGACAAACCCTGAACCAGACTAGCTAAGAAAAAAAGAGAGAAGACTCAAACAAATGAAAGCAGAAATGAAAGAGGAGAAATTACAATGAATACCACAGAAATACAAAGGATCATAAGAGAATACCATGAAAACCTATATGCCAACAAACTGGATAACCTAGAAGAAATGCATAAATTCTTAGAATCACACACCTTCCAGAACTGAATCAAGAAGAAACAGAGAATCTGAATAGACCAATCACAAGAGACTGAAACAGTAATCAAAAACCTCCCCAAAAACAAAAGACTGGGACTTCACTGGTGAATTCTACCAAACACTCAAAGAAGATTCAATACCTATTCTTCTTAAACTCTGAAAAACTGAAGAGGACAGGACGCTCCCTAACTCATTCTACAAGGCCAGCAACACCATGATACCAAAACCAGACAAGGACAACGCAAAAAGGGAAAATCACAGGCCAATATCCTTGTGAACATAGATGCAAAAATCCTCAACAAAATGTTAGCAAATCGAATACAACAATAAATTAAAAGCATCATACACCACAGGATCAAGTGGGATTTATTCTGGGGATGCAGGGATGGTCAACATGTGCAAATCAACCAACGTGATATGCAATATTAACAAAATGAAGAATAAAAATCACATGATCATCTCAATAGATGCAGAGAAAGCATGTGACAAGATCCAACATCCATTTATGATAAAAATCTTAATAAAAAGGGGATAGAAGGAAAGTCCCTCAACATAATAAAGGCCATATATGACAAACCCACAGCCAATATCATATTCAATAGTGAAAAACTGAAAGCCATTCCTCTGAGAACAGGAACAAGACAAGGATGCCCACTCTTGCCACTCTTATTCAACATAATACTGAAAGCTTTAGCTAGAGCAATTAGGCAAGAAAAAGAAAAAAAGGGATCCAAATTGGAAAGGAAGAAATAAAACTATCTCTATTTACAGATGACATGATTCTACATATAGAAAACCCTACAGAATCCACCAACAACTATTAGAAATAATTAATGAATACAGTAAAGTTGTAGAGTAAAACATCAACGTAAAATCAGTTGCATTTCTATACACTAATAATGAGCTGGCAGAAAGAGAAATCAAGAATACAATCACAACACAAAAGAATAAAATACCTAGGAATTAATTTAACCAAGGAGTGAAAGACATACAATGAAAACTATAAAACATTATTGAAAGAAATCAAGAAGACATAAAGAAATGGAAAGATATTCTGTGCTCATGGACTGAAAGAATAAACATAGTTAAAATGTCATATTACCTAAAGCAATCTACAGATTCAATGCAATACCAACGAGAATCCCAAGGACATTCTTCATGGAAATAAAACAAAGAATTCTAAAGTTTATATGGAACAACAAGAGACGCTGAATAGCCAAAGTAATCCTGAGAAAAATGAACAAAGTTGGAGGTATCACTCCCTGAATTCAAAATATACTAGAAAGCCACAGTAATCAAAACAGCATAGTACAGACCAAAAAACAGACACATAGTCAATGGAACAGAATTGAGAAATAAACCCACATATTTACAGTCAGCTAATCTTTGACAAAGGAGCCAAGAACACACAGGGAGAAAGGAAAGTCTCTTCAATAAATGGTGCTGGGAAAACTAGATAGCCACATGCAAAAGAATGAAAATAGACCATTATCTTACACTATACACAAAAATTAACTCAAGAAGGATTAAAGACTTGAATTTAAGACCTGAAACCATAAAACTCCTAGAAGAAAACATAGGCATCTTTGACATCGGTATCAGAGGTATTGTTTTGAAAACATGCCTCATCAGGCAAGGGAAACAAAAGAAAAAATAAGCAAATGGAACTACATCAAACCAAAAAGCATCTGTACAGCAAAGGACACCATCAACAAAATGAAAGGACAACCCGCCAACTGGGAGAAAATATTTGCAAATCATATATCCAACAAGGGGTTAATTTCCAAAATACATAAAGAACTCACACAACTCAACAACAAAACATCCAACAACCCAATAAAAAAATGCACAGAGGATATGAACAGACATTTTTCCAAAGAAGATATATAGATGGCCAATAAACACATGAAAAGGTGTTCAACATGACTAATTATTAGGGAAATGCAAATCAAAACTACAATGAGATATCACCTCATACCCATCATAATGGCTATTTATTAAAAAGACAAGAAGTAACAACTATTGGAGAGGATGTGGAGAAAAGGGAACCCTCAAACACTACTGGTAGAAATGCAACTGGTGCAGCCACTATGGAAAACAGTATGGAGATTTCTCAAAAAATTAAAAGTAGAAATACCAAATGCTACAGCTATTCTACTACTGGGTATTTATGCAAAGAACATGAAAACACTAATTAAAAAAGATACATGCACCCCTATGTTCATTGGCACATTATTCACAATAGCCAAGACTTGGAAGGAACCCAAGTGCCCATCAATGGATAAACGGATAAAGAAGATGTGGTACACACACACACACACACACACACACACACAATGGAGTACTACTCAACTGTAAAAAAGGCAAAATCATGCCATTTGTGGCAACGTGGTTGGACCTTGAGGGTGTTATGTGAAGTAAGATAAATCAGACAGAGAAAGACAAACACCATATGATTTCACTCATATGTAGAAGATAAACAAACACATAGATAAGAATAGATTGGTGGTTACCAGAGAGAAAGGGGTTAGGTGAGGGTGAAAGGGGTAAAGGGGCACATATGTACGGTAACAGATAAAAACTAGACTATTGGTGGTGAACACGAGGCAGTCGACACAGCAACTAAAATACAATAATGTACACCTGAAATTTACACAATGTTATAAGCCAATACGACCTCAATGAAATAATTTTTTAAAAAAGAGCAAATAACATGAATGGCATTTCACAGAGGAGGAAACAGGAGTAGCCAATTAAAGCTGAAAGGATATCCAGCCTTGTTAGAAAACAGGAAAACGTAAATTAAAACTAACTTGGGACACCATTTTATACCCTCTAAATTAGGAAACCTAAAACAAGGAGAACTCTTATTACTGTTGATTGGTGCATAAACTTGTACAACTACTTCTGAAAACAATTTGGCATTAACTAATCAAATAAAAGATGTATATACCCTCTGGAACAGCAATTTAACAAAAGAACAGGATTATGCCCTGTAGAAGCTTGCATGTATGTTCCATGAGACATGTACAATTAAGTTCACAGCAGCACTGTTTTTAGCACCAAGAAAACAACCCAATATTTGTATTTACAGGTGAATGGATAAATAAACTGTGGTCTCTTCATGCAATGGGGATACTATACAGGAGTGAAAATAAATGACCTGCAGCTCCATGCAGCAACATGAACGAATCAGGAACCTCAGACAGAGCAAAGCAGAGCAAGTTGCAGAAGAACACCCATAGTAGGATTCCACCTAAATAAAGTTCGAACACATGCACAACTGAATGACACATTCATATGTGGCAAAACCATCAAGAAAACCAACAGGAACCATAAGCAAAATTCAGAATCGTGGTTGTGGAGGGAGGGAAGGGGGAGGATGAGGGAAAGGAAGCACAGAGGAGGCTTCAACAGTGCTGATAGCTTTGTTTCTTAACCTGGGCAGTGTGGAGCACGGCTGCTACTTTTTGTTGTCGCTACTCTTTATATTTTGCTTGCACGTTAAATACTCTTTTGAATGTATTTAACACTTTCTCATTATTAAAAAATGAGAAGGCTATGAAAGATAAAGTCTGTATCATGATTTCACTGAGGATCAACATTATTCACAGTGTTCTAATGAACTACAGGCACCTCCACTCTACATTTAGAGAAAAAAATACCACACCTAAAATGTTACTTACATTCATTCATTCAATAAATATTACCAAGGGTCTCTTGGTGTCAGGCACTACCCTAGTGGCTGGGATGCAAGCAATCAACACAAAAGACAACTGTGTTCTCAAGAAGCTTACATTGTATTGAGGGAAGAAAGAGAAACAAGGTAAGTAAACTACATAGTACGTTGGATGATGTGCTACAGAGAAAAAAAAGCAGCAATGTGGAATATGAGAAGCGTATATAGGAGAGAGGGTTGCAATGTAAGTAGGAAGGCTAGAATGGGTCTCCTAAGGTGACATTTGAATAAAGACCTAAAGGAAGTGAGGGAATGAGCTTTAAGATACCTGGAAGAAGAACATTCTGGATAGAGGAAACAGCAAGTACAAAGGTCCTGAGGTGGGTGGTGTGCTTGGTATGTTTGACAAACAGCAACAAGGCCAGTGTGACTGGAGAAGAGTGAGTAAGGCTCTGGCAGGAGATGTGGTCAGATAGGTAATGAGGGGCTAGATGGTGCAGGACCTTAGATGTCATTATAAAGACTCTGGCTACTTTTCTGAGTGACATAAGAAGGCACTGGAAGGTCCTGAGCAGAAAAACGACAATATTTGACTTAACTGAATAAACATGCAAGGGTGGAAGTAGGGAGACCTGTTAGAATGAGGCAGCAGTAACCCAGGTGAGATGGTGGTGGTCTGGAGTAGGGGCTAACAGAGGAAGCAGTGAGAGGAGGTGAGATTCTCAACATAAAGGGAAGGTGGAGCCTGCAGACCAAATGCGGGATGTGAGAGAAAGAGAACAAAGGGGATGCCAAGACTTTTGCCCTGAATGACTGAAAGAATAAAGTTGCCATATACTGATATAGCAAAGACTGTGAGAGGGGCAGGTGTGGAGGAGGGGGAAAGCTGGATATCAAGAGGTCAGTTTTGGACAAGCTAAGTTTGAGATGCCTTTCAGGAATACACATGGGAATACTGAGTAGGTAACTGTATTTTTGAGACTGGACAGAGTTCAGGATAGCAGTCTAGAATGGA